CACAAACACATGTAAAGCAGCTAACTTAGTCACTGGTAAATGTAATCAAATATTTCCATTTCTAATTGTTTCCTCTATGATAAACACAACAAAAGTTAATCTTGTTAATTGCATGGTAATACGAGTGGTACATGTACGTATATTTTTAATACTACTAGCAGGTGTGGCATGATAAAGATCCCTCCCTGCTCAAAGGTCGTAAGTGCCGAGCATTGGCCTAAATTTGCAGCCCTTCACCGGCAATGGTGACGTCTCCATATCAGTGAAATATTCTGGAGAGTGACGTTAAACAGTATGTAATCAATCAATCTAATACATGTACTACTGAAGGGTCAAATGTCAACCTGCATGTATATATATATATATATATATATATATATATATATATATATATATATATATATATATATATATATATATATATATATATATATATATATATCACTTTAGCGTATAAATATACGTAAGAAAAAATAGATGTTTTGTTTAATTGTTTATTAAGTAATTAGATATACATCTTTTAACAAACAAAATAAATAATGAATTATCTTCGAATCAAAAGCAAGTCATTAGCGCAACGCTGTCCACTATCACCGAGGCCACGCGAGACCAAGAACTCTACTTCCGTTAACCTGGTAAACAGCCCATTTGAACCACGTGGTGAAATAGGCATTGCCACATAGATCTGCACTCCATCATCTGATACAGACATCGTCCCTCAGTCATTACCATCCGACTTCTTAAGCAAAATAAATTCCTCTGCTATTTAAACACTGTTTCGTGCTTTTATGGGACTATTCTATTTTTTATAGTAAAACTGGATGTCATGGGGCCTGGTGCAATTCTAATCTACTAAATTAGATGGTATTTCGATTTATTTCAAGATTGTTATTTCATGTAAAAATGGAAATATGAGGAATTATGGAAAGTCAACGGGTTCAAAATTCCAACTCGATAATTCTTAAAATGTACACATGTAAAATTGTAAATTGTAAATCTTAATTTTAGGTAAATTGTTGTTTTTTTCCACAATTTGTTAATTGTAACTATCCATGCGTAATTTGACAAGTGTAAAAATGTAAATGCAAAATACAAGTTTTGCCGATGCTCTTGTGTAATTCCTAGACTTACGATTTGTCAACTTGTGAAATGTAAATTGCAATCGTCAATCTAATATGCAAGGTTGCATTATTAAGACGAAAGGGGGCGCTACAGGGGTGACAGGTTTATTCGTTGCTTAACAATTTAAGCACTTCACCAATGCGTCCAGCAATGCACTCGACTGGCCCTGGATAGACAAGAGTGGAAGAAGTTTGTTGCTGCCCTACAAACCACAGGCACAGGTACTTGTGGACAGGACCCCCCCCCCCCCTCCCCTGATATTCAACCCCGGGGCTTATTTTACATTATTTTCACAATTTATATTTAGTACACTTATTCAACATGTTTGCAATAGGAACAAATCGTCAAAACCCCAGAATAATCGCTTCACAAAAAATACCCCACTATACATTATAAGATAGAAGATAAGCAACCTCGCGTTTATAAGTAGAAAAGTGATATAAATATTTGAAACAGCTTATCAACAAGAATAATTGTCCATTATCCCCCCCCCCCCCCCAGCACACACACACACGATTTTTTTTTTTTTTGCATTTGGATTAATTTTTTTAGTGGACATGAAGCTTCCCCCTCATTTCGAAAGTATACATGTATTGACAGCTAGACCCTTTCGTGTCTTTGTAAAGTACACATTACTTTATATATACGGAAATTCAAATTAAAAATTATTTGAAGTGATCATATATTAAGTACGTAGTTTTTAGCTCACCTGAGCCGAAGCCTTAAGTGAGCTTTTCTGATCACATTTTGTCCGTCGTCCGTTTGTAAACTTTTCACATTTTCGACTTCTTCTCAACAACCACTGGGCCAATTTTGACCAAACTTGGTACAAAGCATCCTTGGGTAAAGGGGAATTACAATTGTTAAAATGAGCTACCAAGTTTCCTCACAAGGGGAGATAATCAAGAAAAGACAAAGATAGGGTGGGGTCATTAAAAAATCTTCTACTCAAGATCCACTAGGCCAATAATGCTGAAACTTATGTGAAAGCATCCTGAGGTAATGCAGATTCTAAATTGTTCAAATCATGACCCCCGGGGGTAGGACGGGGCCACAATGGAGAATCAAATTTTTGCATAGAAATATATAGGGAATATCTTTGAAAATCTTCTTCTCAAGAACTACTGGGCCAGAAAAGCTGAAACTTATGTGGAAGCATCCTGGGGGTAGTGTTGATTCTAAATTATTCAAATCATGACCCCGAGGGATAGGGCAGGGCCACAATGGAGAATCAATGTTTTACATAGACATATATAGAAAAAAAATCTTATTCTCAAGAACCACTGGACCAGAAAAGCTGAAACTTATGTGGAAGCATCCTGGGGTAGTGTAGATTTCAAATTGTTTTAATTATGATCATTGGGTTAGGGTGGGGTCACAATATGTATTACAATGTGGAATCTGGTAAAAAAAAAAAAAACAGAATGGTCAAAGATTATCAGGTGAGCGATATGGCCCATGGGCCTCTTGTTCTTTTTCTTCCAAACAGATGACTATTTTTGTGGTTATAAATAATCATTAATATATTTTATAATGTTTAGTCAGATTTAAGACGAACACACTACTAGGAAGGGAGGGTCCTTCTCTTTGCACCACTCATTGAGTTTGTATACATTAATCAGATGATTTTATAGAGCCGAAGACATCTCAGACGGTATGAAGCATCTCAGTTTTGTTGGGTTACATATAGTTTATTTCATGCATCATCATGAAACAAAATGAAGTTCAGGAAAAAGGCTTCCGTGCCTTGGGCCCTACTATCACACAAAAACAGTACAGGTGAAAACTCTAGTCCTTATGCATGTAGCAACGTTTTTGAATGGGGCACCGAAAAATAATTGACACTTTTAACTGAAAACCCTGGGGGAGGGTGTGGTATACGGTTTTTACTTTTTCACAAGACAATTCGATCCATAGTTATAATGGGTTTTCATACTTAATTACAGTAAAACATGTTCGAGAAAAAACGGGAAGGGGGAGCCTCCCGCCTTCCAATGCAACGCGAGAAGTCTTTACGCTTCTTTATAATGCTGAGAAAAACAACTTTCGGGTTCTATTCCCTCGGCACCTCTCCATGTGCTGATTTAGGTGGGGGGGGGGGGGGAATCCAGACCCCCTCCCCCAAATTGTACAGTAATTAATTGTATAAACAGAAACACATAGAAATGACTTTAGAGCCCCCGCCCCCCCCCCCCCCCACACACACACACGAACCACAACCACCAACACGAAATAAGTTTTTTTTTTTTTTGCTTGTCGAAGAATTTTTGGTATGGGATATTTTGACTAAGGTGCACCTCGTCCCCCTTTGGAAAAAATTCCCGAGATCCGCGCCTGCCTTCTGTACAGGTATATACGAGAAAAGTTTTGTGTGTTTAGATCCCTGATCTTTTCTGTATTAAACTGAAATCTTATTTGTAAACAGCTTAAGAGACCACTTGAAAGCATGATATGCATGCATACCACAAAACTCAGGATCTTTTAAGCTTTGGAGCGAAATTACATGCCACCCTTATAGCGCCCTCTTTCGTTTAATATGCAATGAGATCATGACAACGAGCACGCGGCGGGTGTGACTGGTCGGCAGGTGATGCTCACTCCTCCATGGTACCTGATCCAACCTCTGATATTTCGGAGGTCCGTGTTTGCTCTGCTCTTATTTTGCATATCGTTTAATGGACGTTGGGATTGAATACTGTTCGTTATCTCCACATCCTTCATGCAACCTTGCATAATTTACAAATCACGAAAGTACATTTCATAAGTTGACAAATCGCAAGTCTACGAATTACACGTGATCATTGACATAACCTGCGTTTACATTTTTACACTTTTCAATTTATGTTGGATAATTTACAAATAACAAATTGTGAAAGACCATTTGACAAATTATGAAATTAAGATTTACAATTTACAAATTCAAGTTTACAGGTGTACATTTTAAGAATTACAGATTTAAAATTTTGAACCCGTTGGCTCTCCATAAGGAATCGCTGTCTATTTATGAGACTATGCCAGGAACATCAACAATAGTGGGAAACATGAGATAATTTTAGCATAACGGGGTTTGCCCGTTATGTAAATTATCCCATTTTTTCCTACTATTGTTCATGCCCTGGCAGAGTCTTATAACTAGACAGCGATTCCTTAAATGTCAGCTATGCTATAAATCGGAAGCGATAAAAATAACATCTTCTAATGAAGGAGAGTAATTAAGATACCAAAGGCATTTGAAACAGTTTTGCAGGTGCAGTATATAAACAAATACCATTTTGTGTAAAAAAAGGTAAACAAGGGTAATGCAACATAATCAGCACGAACACAGGTCTCACTGAAAGCCGATATCCGTGACAATAAAGCAGTCAAGTGTAAAGAATGCGAAGAATATACCCCGATGTTGATATCAAAGATGGTAAAATCAATGATGGCGTATGTCTATTAACGAGTTCACTTTTAACAAACTTTTCTAAACGTTAACAGTTCCTCCTTTTAGAGTTTAAGCATTCATTTAGAAAAAAAATTAACATAGCAATGAAAAATTACAGAAGTTACATTTTTCACTATTTGATTTATTAGGGTTTTTTGTTTTAACCTACGATCGAAATTCTCGTTAAGTACTTTTTCCAGGTAAACTTTTGAACAGCACATTCATTTCATAGCAGATTTTGAGAGTTTGAAGCAACCGGCTATGCAAACACGGTGCGCTCTTGGATTAATGATATAGAGTTCCAGGAGCAATGTGTTTCGAACAGGATTAACATGCATGTACATGTAGTATAGTGAATTTGAAAAAAAAAACGTAATTATGAAAATTTTTATACATATTTGACGAAATAACAATGTACACTTTGTAATTTGTTTCTGTTTTATTATTGTAGAAAATAACGCAGCCAGTGTGATAGTTGGGTCCATTTTTGGTGGCCTTATCTTAGGAGTTATATTAACTGTTCTTACAGTTTTCATCTATCAAAACATACGAAACGGAAAAACTAAAACTGAAGAAAAGTATGAAACAGTTCAGTGCAATAAGCTATGTTTATTAATTTGATTATGGTACTCATTGCTGACATGTATTATCAACATTTAGAATCAATTTGCAATCTTCAAACGTTTTATATTTAGAGAATGCCGAGAGGTTGCTGTTTTTAACAACACTACTTTTGAGACTGAAACAGATGCATCTCAGAGAATCCCTGAGGTTCATCGTACTAATGAGGTAAGAAATTAAAAAAAATGATTTGTCGTTGCAAAAGACATTTTATTTGTTATCTATACATGTATCTTAATCACGGGATTCCTCCCTGACATATGAGAGAAAAATTGTCGAGCGGGACATTAATGAGCATACAATTACATGTAATCAACAACCTGCACGATAAATTAATTGATTTTTATAGCCTAAATTTCTTAGAAATTAATATATGGAAGGGTGAAAAACACAAATAACAATAAATGCATTACCAGCATAGAATATACAATGTACATGTATTTGCATATGTGGTTTTATAAACCAGTATTGTCCTTTAAATGCAGTTGATAATTTCCATAATTTGAAAGCTAGCAACGAACATTTGGCATGAGTATATTTTGCTGTGACTGAAACAATTTCATAAAGACGTTTTTATTTCGCATACTGTAGAATCATCATTGTTCGTGGAGGACAAATGGTCGTGGATTTCGCTGATCGTCCTAACAAATTTACATTCATTCGAACGTTCATTTTGTTAACATATTGGTTCATTGAACCATCGTATTTACGAGTAATCCACAAAATTGAGTCCCCACGAACAGGTCAAATTTTGCCTACCCACGAATATTGACACCCAACAAATTAAAATCATTCCACAGTATATATCAAAATTCTCAGATCTAATACTTGAAATTCCCTACTCTATACGCCAACATATGTGCACAGTAAAACAGTTAAATGAATATTTTGATATTTACTTATGAAACAAACAGATTAAAGGATTTGACTCTTAAACGGCTTTGGGTGTTACATGGGACCGCTTTGAGACTGTTCCATAAACACAACCAAACGCAGGAGTCTCAACGAAAGCAGACTCATTCTCAGGGGAGGCTATATTCACAATTAGTCCAATACATTGAATATTTTAAATACACAAGTTCCGTTCTAATGTTGAAGAAAAAGAATGGAAGGATATGGATAAAAAAGGTTTCTCAATTACTGAGAGATGAAGACCTACAAGTACTTAAAGATATATACCGATTCCTGGACAAAAATATTAATTTACAAACTACGAAATGACATATGAATGTACATCTTATTTTAAGTCCGCTTTTATGGTTACTCTGAAGTTATTTTTGTAGTCTGTTCTAATAGATAGATTAATGTATTTTTATTAATCACGAATATCATTTTTTTATTTGGATTACTAAACATATATACATGTATGACATTTAAAACTTTCATTGAATGTGGTATTTTAATTCTTAAAAAAATAACAAAATGAATGATTATTAAACAAAAATTGTACATTGCAGAGAAAAGTTGTAAATGTGCCACCATTTGCTCATTCTGTTGAATTTTCAACCACCAAGAACGTCCAAGAAACCAATAAGAGTTTGATGGTGAATAGAGACGTGAACGTTGATGTTTACAATCATATGCATGAAAAAGAGGAGTACATTGATGAAAACTATGACCACCTCCAAGGAAACCTTGATCATGAAAATGAAGAGAGTGACTACAGCAATCTCCACGCGGGGGGAATATATATGGAACTCGACGTTTCCGCATCTGTTGATAACGATTATTGTTCACTGAAAAAGCAGTAAAGGAAGTAATTGTTCTGAATCTAAGAACCTTTTGTACTATTTTTTAAAATCTTTTATTTCACATTTCCCATGAATACCCATTTACAATTGCCAGTTAACCCGGGTATTTAGGGAAACCAACATAAAAACAACAAAGGAAAAAAAAACTACAAAATATAAGTTATAACATTTGTTAAAAGTTTAACTTCAAGTTGGTTTTTAACATCTATGTTTTTGACAAATTTAATATGAAATCTATATCTTTATCTGATGAACCTCTAATGCTATTTTCTAGCATGGACTTTTCTTGTATTATATATAAGTCATATGAATTCATTGCTATAATTTTCTGATGCCTTTCAGTGATAGATGCATAAAATGATAATGTCTTGATACAATCAAAATGAAAAGATGCATCTATGTATTATAAAAAATCCTCCCAGCATTTAACATGAGAATTTCCTTCATAAAGGTTTTATATCATACAGTTATCTGTATGATGGATTCTGACTTAAGTGATGACAGAGACAAAAATGCCAACTGTATACAGTTTTCCTTTGGCGATTACATTAACAATCTTTATCTTTGAGATATTTGACTGTAATGTTTTAATAAGAATCTAAAAAAAAGTCTTTGTATCTTTAGAACTCATATTAGAATTTATATCAGTGGTAAATATAATTAGTAAATTTTCTACTTCTTGCGCTTAACACAACAGTGGTACATGCTTCATTGTTTTACAGTTATGTAACTTTGCTGTTATGTACATATGTTAAAAATTTCAGTCAAATGCTCATTAGAGTTTGAGTCATTTTAAACTTTCAAACGTCCATAAAATACGTATCTCATTGTCAAAGCATATGTACAATTGATATACCTGTATTTGAATAAATGAATATTTCTTATGATATAAGATTTTAAATACATATTTATTTGAAGCTAAAATTCAGTCCAGAAATCTATGTAATAAACATTAAAAGACAAGCTTAAGTTAAACATTTTTTTTCTATTCCTTGACATCGATTAAATTATTTCATTCCACTTTGTATGACCACGAATGTCTTTGCAATTCTGACTGAAAAGTTAAAAGAAAAATATTTTGATCTTCTGCATTGTAGAAGGTTAAATAAATCGGCTAAACTAAAAGTTTGTGTAGTTGAGATACATTTTCTTCAAAATTAAGTTTTTTAAGCCCGTGCTTCAACTTATAACACTTACGAATTCTAGAAAATATAGTTTTGAAAAATATCAGAAAAGGTTTCACAAGATGACAAAAATAATATCTATTGATAAGCTAATTTTAAAGGCGTCTGATAATATCGTGAAAGTTGGATTTACTAATGGAGCGTATACTGTTACAGCACTTAAAGCTCCTTGGGTGAACCGTGCCTCGCACACTAACCTCGGACGTAAACGGTTCTACCATATTGCTGATAGAGTCATGTGACCTTTTTTAAATTTCTACTAAATATAATACCATTGAAACCTGATTTACTTTGTGGCACACCTAACAATATGTTTTTGCTCTCAAGGTCTACTAACAAACATTTTAAGGTTTAATATCAAAACCAATTTACAAGAAATTGACAAGTAAAAAAAAACTTTTTGATGAACTTTACACAGAGCGAAATATGAAAAATGCGAAATATGAAATGTGTTACAAAGCAGTCTTTGGAGGAAAAGTGCATCTGCTGCATGTTGAAATAAATACACTGTACATCTTTAAGTAAGTATATAAACTTTTTTTGCATATAACATGTATAATGATCCCGAAAACCATACAATCTGCGAAAGCATAAAAATATAGACATGTGACATTGAAAATAGTCAAAAAAGATGCTGACTACACAAAACAAGTGCCACAATGCATAGATTTATTGTTTTTATGCTTCATCACGGTACATTGGTGATAATTAGTTTTCTTTATTCGATTGTTGAGAAGACTCATTCGTTAAAATAATTTGAAATTATCATACCACTATATCATGTATTATGACGTCTCTGTATGTGTTAAAAACTTCTCAAATGGGGCGTAAAAATATACAATCAATAAGCAACACTTAAAACAAAGAAGTTAATATATTGTATATCTATGCTCCCTTCATGCAAGATACGTTATGTTTACATGCATCATATATACTAATAATGTAAACACGCGACATATTTTAAATTTTAATTTACTTCTAATATCAGTATCTGACATTAATGCCAGATTCAACATTATTTTCTAGACACATGGACATTATTTATGTGAGTATGCGAGATAAGTATGTCAACATGCAACTTACTGTAATGAGGATGCAGAGTACTTATTTCATGATCAACATGCTGGTCAATTTTGTCAACAAGCAAGAAAATCATGTATACATGCAACTTACGTCTGCGAAGATGCAAGATATTTATGTCATAATCAACATGCAAGATAATTTTTGTTTTTGTCATTGTGATAGATAATTATAATAAAATGCAAGTTATTTATGACAACATGCAACATATGTATGTTGACATGCAACTTATAATACATAGCACGTTTACATGAATAATTTGCATGTCTATATAATTATGTTATATGTAAAGATAAATAAGTCGACCATTTCATAAATAAATTGCAGGTTTAAATAAATATATCACATGTTTCAAGAAATAATTTATCTTGCATGGTACATGTGACTTTTTGTGTGTATGATGTCAGATACTAAAGTTGAAATGATCAAATGGTTTTTGTGATACATTTAATTGAAAAACCTTTTAACAAACGGACAAACTTTATCAAACGTTAAAAACGGCGGATGCGCATTTGATACCAAGGATATATGGAATAAGATTTTCAAAGAAAATATCACTTTTTACTGTATATTAAGTATAGCCCACAGCTCCTGTCCCAGGGGCCATGATATCACACTTTTGAAAGAGACACTATTGCTCATCATAAGTATTCATTTCCTAGGTTTCTAAGCATGTAAATGTATGAAAATTCTCTGGTCTTTTGGAATTTTAATCATGTTTTTTTCGCATTAACAATCAAATTTGAAGAAAAGAAAAAAAAAGAATGGGCACACAAACATAAACCTCCAAATATCAGAGGTGGGATCAGGTGACAAGGGGGTAGCTAGGATCCTCTGCCAACCGGTTACGCTTATAGTGTGCTCCTTGTCATGACCTACAAAAAGTAAAAAAAAATCCGTCGTTACTGCAGTGTATAAATAATGAACTAACAATTACTATAAAAAGAACGTCAGTCAGCATTTAATGAAATAATAAATTTTTGAATTTACTAACAATGATATTGTATCTACCACAGAACTTACTAAATCATTACTTCAAATGAGAAGCTGAAATTCATGTTTCATCAATTTGCTTGTCAATAATGTACTTCGTTCGATGAATTGTTCATACGAAGAGCATGCTCTTGTGTTTCAAATCTAATGAAATATATGAACTTCGTATGCAGATGAAGGTTTATTTCTGCATAAATGAGGTTTGACGCGGCGCCGGGAACGAGAATCGAACCCGGACCTCCCAATCACGAAGCGAACTCTCTACCAATATGCTACCGTTAACGGTCCAAATATGAAACAGATGTGTCAGACTCTGTGGTAGCTTACCGGGAAATTGTACCGACATAAAAATGGAAATTGACATTATTTGTTGATAGTACGTCAGCCACTAATTTTATTGCTTTGGCTCCACTAGTACTCCTATGGCTACAGTGAGAAAAACCATGAAAGTCAGTCTACTTATGTTTCAATTCACGAACTTATCCTCTACGCAAGAACTTCATGGTAAAATTTGCTCCGTTGTTAAAGAGAAGTAGGTTAAGCTAACGGTTAACAAACAGTAAACAAATAGTTTAAGTGACCTAAAACACAAGGAATACAACGTTAACTGTTTTATAATTCCTTAAGATACTATTATTTATTTTCTTTTTTAGGACAATTTCTTCTCTGAACAGTTTAGATCAGGACTGATATAATTTTTTTTCAAAGATATCGTCTTTTTCGCAACTACACACAAATTCATTTTTTTAGTAATATGATTTGAAACAAGTTGAACGATATTATAATGTCACTTTGTAAGGCACTTGAAAACATCGAATATCATGCAACAGAGTTGTTATTGTTCTGGTTTGCAAGGAAGTTTTTCTCGCATGTAAGTTTTTTTTAAGTTTAAAAAAATTATAAACCAGGAAGTTTTATTTTCCTTTTTCACAATTTTTCATGTAAAAATGGATATTTTGAAATATATAGAATGTAAGTATTTGAATTTGTCTTTTTCTTTGGAAAAAAAGTTAACTTTTGCACCGAATTTAATTTTCATCAAAATTGGTACTTAAGCAATAACTATAAACATGATAATTGGGGTAATGGAAAGATGCGACCGATTTTCAAAAACGGACATTTTCGACTTGGTACATAAATGAATAATTATATCCAAACAAATTTTCCTTACGATTCTTTGAAATAGAAAGAAATGTTCATATTTTCATGAACTATAATGAATGAGCATGAATATCTCCATTGTTACGTCATAGTACCACACTTTACGTCAAAACCATAGTGCAAACTTTTTTGCTTTTAAAAATGGCAGTGTTATGGCATAATTCGTGGTAACTTATCAGAAAATTATGTAAATATAAGAAATAAATTTATTTCTTGAAGATTCATAATATACAAGAACTACAACGCGCTTTATGAAATACTGTAGAAGTGGAAAACATTACGGTGTTTTTAATTTCACTATGTTCACGTGCGATTAAAGAATTTTTCGCGAACTTAAAATCATCATGATTATTATTTCACGTCATTTCTACCTAGAAACAGTCATAGTACCTGGTTCTCCGTACAATTAAAAAAAGCTGACTTTCTAAAAAACCGTGGAATTTTAGACACGTGAAATTAAAGACATCTACAGTATGCCGACTTGAATCGTTGTAGATCACAACCTCATGTATCTTCAAAAATTGAATTTATTTCTTTAATGAATAGTTTGAAATGATAAATGATTACTGAACTAGAGATATGTCCATAGGACATAAATGCCCAAACGAAGGTATATCAGCAGCATGCATGGAAATTTGTATTAGTGTAAGAAATTTGATCAGAATATCTAATCTTTAATAGTGATGCAGTTGAATTCCTTACATCAGTATATATCATCAT